CCAGTTTAGTTCCATGGACCAAGCCTCAATTGATCTATTTAACTCGCCTAGAACATCCTCTCTTCAATAAGGTTATCGATCATGATATGACTTTGTACGACAAAATATAGGTATGGGCGGAATTGCGGAATGTCATCGTACAGTGAGTCTGTGGATTATGCACTCAGGATATAGGCAGGGTTTAGAGAAATTGGCCGACTGTGCCGGTCGCAGTATGGATACACAAGGCATGAGATTGGGAACCCGTAGCATGCCATGCATCGGAGTTTTTTGACAATCCGGAAGGTATTCGTGATGCGCGCGATGCTACTGTGTAGAGATAACCAAACCAGAGAGGGAATGTACTGTAGATCTCATCTTGACCGATAATCTCGCGGCCCAGCCCAGTACCGAAGTAAAATCTCAGACACTAACAGGGGTTGGGCCCCCAATGTCTCGCATCGTCCAGAGATCAGTCAGAAACTCACAGCAGATTCAAGTGATTATTCATTGCAGATCTTTGGTTATATGACCGGATTTAACTAGAGACGTGTACATGATCTCCCAGGACTAGGTAGGTAGTTAACGTTACTGCGGCCGGAATCTCAAGGCTCGACGCGATGAATTATTCCTCCTCTCACATGCATGAACTCCAATGTAGGGGATTCTTCACCAACGAGCCACACTAGCCATGCAAGCACCGTCACAATAACAAGCCACTTACCACTCACGCAATTTTCCGAAGCCTTTGAACCCTTCCTGCATCACCCCAAACTCCAGAGATGGAAGAAAAAAGAGAGCTTACCCTATATCACCCCTGCCCCCGCATTCGGTTGACCTGGGGGCGGGGGAATCGCGGGGATGAGCAAATGGTAGTAATGGAAACACGAGAAAAAAATGAGCCGAGAATGGGTTGGTCAGTCAGGTGACTAGGCAAGAAGGAGGCGTGGTCACATTCACCCCCATATTCTCGAATTCGGGAGGGTAATTTGGCCTGAAGGCTTTGAGTTTGTATACCGCTTCAATCGAGAGTCTGTCGGCTGTGACCGATATAGCGACGCGCAGAGGCGTTCTCGCAGTGTTTGGGAGTCATTCAAAGACGTGCTGAATCATCAGAAGGACCTCCAGCCGAGGCACGACGCCAGGTCACCAGCCGCGATGGCTTCATCACCCCCGCGCCAGAAACGCCGCAAGGCTTCGTGCAAAGAGTTCCAATGCACCCACGAAGGTTGCGGGAGGACATATTCCCGAGCCGAGCATCTTCAGCGGCATCAACTCAATCGTTAGTATCATCCAATTACATCAATTAACCCCCACTGACGCCGTTATAGACTCCCCCAAAGAGATCTACTACTGTGACTATCCGGATTGCTCATTTACTTTCGTCAGGAAAGATCTCTATGCGCGTCATAAACTGAGACACGAGAGACAGGTGCAGCAGTATGGAAATGGACGCCTTTCTCAGAGGCCCCAGAAGGAGTTTTCTAAATTACCGAGGCAGCGGAGTGAGAGGTACTCGTTCAGTGAGGATGGCTCGGCATGGAGTGATACCCAAGATGAAGCGAGAGAGACACCAGCAAAAGAACGACAAGCTTCAACGACTCGAATGTCCATGGATTCATCCGTAATTGACCCCAACAACTCGAAACAGTTCGGGGTTGATGGAGGACTATCCCGACAAGACTCTGGCCAGCGCAATGACCTAGGAAGCGCAGGTGCCTACTATGCTGACCAAAGACAACTCGAAAGTCGTGAATCCTCGCCAGAAAAGCAAGCCATAAGCACTTTACCGTCGTTCCGGATCGATCAGATGCCTCCTGCTGACATGTCCATGCCTCTGGCAAGTCCTGAATTGACTACTCGCCCGGAACGCCCTCGCACACAATCCTATGCCATACCAAATGGATTATCAACGTCTAATGAGCAAATCATGGAAGAGCAGCATTTCGGACTCTCACCATCTAGCACAGATGAGTTCACGACATGGCTCTTTACTGGTCAAGGACTGGGCTCAAATTATAACAATTTCATACCAGGAAACTTCGGCATGACAGGATACTCGAATAATTTCGGCCAGCTATGTACAGATTACACGGCTCAACCAGGCTTGATGGGCGGTTCTTATGTTGAACCTATCAACAGCTTGTGGTTCCAGTCAGAACCAATGACGATGGCTACACCAATGGCTGATGTATCGCAATTTGGTAAAACTGGTCTTTCAGAGCACAAGAGGCAGTCGCTGCTTCATTATATGATGCAGCGTTTCAACGAGATCAGTCTACATGGAAGCAGATCAGCAGCAGATATCAAGGATGAGATTTTTGGCAGCGATACTGATGCTGAAAACCATGTTCTCAGCCACGTTAACGTTGAACGTTATCTCAACTCATACTGGGACAACTTCCATGACCAACTACCCATCCTCCACCGCCCAACATTCATCCCGGAAACCGCCAATGACTTTTTGTTGCTGGCTGTTCTTATCATGGGAGCCTCGATGCTGGACAAGAAGGGAGCATCTGAAGATTCCGTGGACAAAATTTCAAAATTCACCACGTTTGTCTCCTGGAACCTCCGTTGGCAGGTCTTCATGCATGCGGACTCTCACCCACCTGCAAAACTCTGGGTCATCCAGACACTATTGCTCCTGGAGGTGTACGAGAAGATGAACGCAACTCGAGTTCTCCATGAGCGTGCCCATATTTACTTCCCTACGACTTTATCGCTGATGCGTAGAGGAAGTGCTCTAACCGGGAAGCAATCTTCATATGCCTCTCGGGTTCCAACTCCGATGGGTAGTCCTAAGATAGGATCCTCGAGACTGTTCCCTGGACCAAACAAACCAGGGTTTAATTCTTCACCTGAAAAATGGTGGGATCATTGGATTGCTCAAGAAGCTACGCGGCGAGCCGCCCTTGCTGCGTTCATCATTGATGCTACGCATGCCGCTCTTTTTGGACATACACCGACGTTGGTGATCCATGAGATCAAGCTTCCTCTTCCTTGCGACAACACTCTATGGTCTTCAGACTCACCATCGGAAATCGGCTGCGTTGAGTCAAGTCTTCACGCTAACGGTGTCACGCCTATCACTTTCCTTGACGGACTACAACGCACGCTCAACGGGCAAAGAGTAAGAACAAGCCCGTTTGGAAGAATTGCACTCCTCGCAGCACTTCTATCCGTAACATGGCAAATGCATCAAAGAGATTTGGACCGTTCAACACTTGGGACCGACACCATACCTGGCGTCCAAGAGCGATGGCGCCCAAAGCTTCTAAGAGCTTTTGACTGGTGGAAGAAGGACTACGATGATGGTGTTGCTCATGTCAAGCACGCTGCTTTTGATTGGCAGAGACTAGGCTTGAGCAGCAGAGGTGGAAGTGATGATGGCGATGCCATGGAGACACTTGGCACAGTCCTTTATCATCTTGGTCACATTACTGTTTACATCAGTATGCCAGAGCTTTGTATCTTTGCAGGTGTTCCTCAGATCCTTGGACGCACTGTGTCCTCTGTGGACTGGAGACGAACTGAGGCCAAGATCAAGGAATGGGTTGCTTCGCCCGGAGCTATTGGTGGAGTGTATCACGCGCTCCAGCTCATCCGGCTTATTCTTCTTCAGGAAGCGCCCAGGAGAGGCGTGACGAAGGATGCCAGTGGAATGGCAACTGCATTTTCCCCATCTACTTATCCAAAGTATGACGCTGGGAGCGATAAGTTGCTAGTTAGGGCCTGGGCACTTTACTATGCCTCTCTCGTGTTATGGGCTTATGGATTTGTGCAAGATGGAAACATCGAGCCGTTCCCAGATCACCTGCAATACCCTTCCAGCAGCTATGGTATACCGACGATGGCCACTGAGGCTAGTGTTCATTCATCCTCCGCTCAAGGCACTATCAACACTCCTCAAGGATCTCATCCAGAGCAGACGCCCATGTCATCGAATATGGACTACGAGGCGTTGAAGCGTGATCGCCATGAGGATCTTAGGACATATCTCCAAATTATGATCCCGCCCACCATCGACTCTATCAAAGCTTTTCACTTGCACCAAAACCAAGCTGGCGTGGTGGGAAACAGAAACAAGATCATTGGTCTTCTGAGTGTTGTTGACGATGCGTTGACCAACACACGTTGGGAGCTCTTGTCTGAGGCGAGGAATAGGCTGAAGATGGCAGCGTCAATGATGCAACAGCCTCGTGAGCCAAGGATGTGAAAGAGCCTGGGTGTGTGATTTTTCAAAAACATTTACGTCTGATGAGTTTGAATACCTTTGGGATTTGTATAGTATTAACATGTAGCGGTTCGGCGGCAGTTATTGATTTTAGCATTTTCACATATAGTCTGATCCTAGTATATAGTCTATCTAGAAGTTTATATGCGTGAGCCTTATCTCGAAATTGAATTATGTCTGATAACATAAACTTCAACAACTGATGGAATATTTCGTCATATCGGAAGCACCTCCGATGTCTCGGTCATTTTCTCCGATGCCGGATCCCAGCATTGCCTCATCCCACGTCTTTGAAGACCATTGACTCACGACTTGGACCACCTTGCTTGACTATCTTGGTCATAGCGATGGATCGGATTATTTAGACACTGTATCCATACACATTAAAACTAAACCTAGTCTTTTAACAAGATTCTGTGTTGAGTTCTCGCATTGATAGTTAATATATCAGACCCATAGTTCATCGGCCTCGAAGCCGTGCTCCCACCCAAAATCCCCAGCTTATCTTTTTCACTGGACTTTTCTAGTGGACCACCATTTTATCTCAAGCCGGGAGCTGGTCCGTCCATACTACATGGGGATTATGGGGATTCGGCCCCTCACGTGATCGGATCATCGTGTGGAGAAGTTTTACGCTCAAAGTCCGGAACCATCCCGAGAGAATAACAACGCTCAAGTCCCCGCGTCCTCGGACTTTCAGCCCATTCAGTCCCAGACTCTCGGTCAAGTCTTCCATAAGCTTCTTATCTCTAGAGTCAGACCATCTCGTTTCTAGAACCTTTCAATGACACTCGTGGCCGACGACTCGACTGCCTCGATGGCTCGGAAGCGTCCGGCGCCCTCCGATGGGGGAAAAGATGCACGCAAAGCATCATTGGCGTATGTCGATATCTTGTTCTCCACTATTTTTGTTTTGCTTTGGTGACTTACAGCTTCGTAGGTGTCTTACATGTAGGAAGAAAAAGGTTCGGTGTTCGGGGACTACTCCTTGCCAGTACTGCACCAAGCGTGGGCTGGACTGCAGGGTTCCTGAACATGGACACAAGCGCATGTATATGGCCAAGTAAGTTCTTCCGTAACCCAATCAGGACTGATAGCTGATATTTGTCGCTTGTTAGCCGTATTGAAGAACTTGAGAGCAAGTTGGCTAGATATGAAAGAGATGGCTATGATGGACTGCCTTCAACTCTACCTCCGAGGGCATCTGGTATGGCTCTTCTCTTATCCTGTTATCATTCGACCTATACTGATAGCTTAAGAACCCCCAGTTTCTGCTACACAGAACGGTCAAAGGAGAGACTCTAATTCTAACCCACAAACATCTCACTCCTCCCCTCAAGACCCTCTTCATGTTAGATCAAGATCCTCAAGCTTCATTCGCCCTTCTACAAGTTTCTCAGCACCCCTAGCTCAACATAAATATCCTCCTTATGATGGCACTCAAGCATCACCAGCTGCTAGTAAGTTAAATTCTCTCTAAGCCCTATGCCACATGCTTATAATCCAGCTATTCTTGCTGGCTCTTCCCTCAGCTCTAGTCATACCTTTGGCTCCCGAGTCCAAGACTTACTCGGCTCATCTCGCCCCGAGTCAGAGCCAACTTCAAAACCCTGGATCAGTCCTGAGGCAAACTTACGCCATGAAGTTATTAGCCATCCATGGCGTCTCTCGAGCAGTGACTTTCCAAAGTTGCCCCCAAGAGATGAGGCTCAACGGTTGTTAGATACAGCTTTGTTCTATATTGGTCAGTCACAGCATCATATTGATGCTCGTGAGTTTTCTGATAAAATGTGGGCTTTCTACCAGAATCGGGATGATCCTGCTCAGATGGAGTCTCTGTGGGTTCTCGAGATGATTCTTATGATTGCTATTGGAACACTGTTCGATGCCAATCCCGAGGGGAATGACGACTTTTCTGGGGTCAGACTCTTTGAGTATGCCCATAAAAATGTTCCGACGTTGTCAGACTTGCGATTCAATGGAAAGCTTGGTATTGAGATTTTTGCTCTCTTTGCCATCTATCTCGGCAACATGAATCGTAAGGAAGAGGCATATCTCTATGTAAGTTGTCCCATATCCAATTGTGGAACAATGGCTGACTTTACGCTCAGATTAGCACCGCCATGCGCTTGGCAATTTCGCAGAAGTATCACAGAGTATGTGGAACTAGACACTTGATGCAGTCTGAGAGAGTTCATATGAATCGTCTGTGGTGGACTATTTACATGCAAGAACGGTAAGTGATTGAAAACACGGACTCACAGAATGATGGCTACTGAATATGTGCAATCAGACGTCTGGCTGCAGCTACAGGTAACCCCCCAAGCATCGGTGATGAGGCAATCAACATCCCTCTTCCTACGGACTCTCCTGGCTTCCCACCTGTTGGGCCCATGTGCACAAACATCAGGATCGCCCGAGCCACAGGTCGTATCTTGGCTGGTAGGTCTACATGAATTTATAAGGATTTGCTGCATTATGACTGACACTTGATTAGTGCTCTATAATCCTGAAGACGAGTCAGAATCTACCTTTATTCCCCATGTCCAAGATATCGTCAAATCCTTATACCAGATCTCCCAGGAAATACCTTCAGATGCAGTTACAGATGTATACAACTTGGGCCGGGACCAGTCTTTGAGAACGACTGCTTCGTTGCATCTGATGCTCTTCCAAGTAAGCAAGTCAGCGGAGAGGAAGAACAAGTTTACTGACTATTGGATAGGCAACTATTCTTACGATTCGACCGCTCATGCTACATGCTGCGAAACTCATCCTCAGCGGAAATGGCCTTACAGGAGAACAGCTACATGCTTCACCTCTCGGGAGACTATCAAGGACTTGTGCTGAGGCTGCAAGGCGGCAGCTCAAGGTTGTTGCCACGCTCAGAAAACGCAACATGATAGGTAAGTTGACCTTGGACTTTTGGTATTGTTTCACTAACATGGCTTAAGCAATCTTTGGCTTTTACGACTTCGAAGCTTCCTTCTCAGCTGCGTTCATCATGATTCTCGCTGCGATCCTGGATTCAGTCTGTGAAGAAAGCATGAAAATCAACCCCAAGCCCGGTTTGACGCAGGCATTGGAAGAAATACAGCATCTTGCTGACCATGGAAACACGTATGCTCGCGAGAGATTGCAGGAGGTCAAGAGACTATGGAAGGTAATGGCACAAAAGATTGAGTCACTGCAAGTGGTCAACGTATCTCCCCAAGGACCACCGGGCGAAGGCCAAAACGCCAACGGTGTCACACAAACCAACGGCGCAACACCATCTGGTTTCGGTGATCTTCACCGAGGCGAGCTTATCCCTGGAGATCAAAGTCAAACATCGCCAGAAGACTTCATGCCTCTCGACACAGACTTATGGGACAACTTCTCTAACCTCTGGGTTCCTATGCCTGAAGTCGTAGAGGGAGGCTCGCAGCAAGAGATGATGATGGGGGATATCCCGCATGATGACTTTTATAAGCATTGCTATTCTATGTATAATAACCCGGACTGGGATCTTACGGGTGAGGATGTTGGGGACTTTGCTGAGCTTGGAAGACATATTCAAGATTCATGATGGGGGTTTTAGGAAAGAAAAGTTTTACTGGGCATTCAACTACCCTAATACTTGTTTTCTATGTCGGTTTGGGAAACATTGCTCAACCACGAATGCATGCATACATGCTCGGATAAAATAAAAGCCGATGACTTGATGGAATAAGATGAACAACTCGCGTTATCTTGAGTAACTTAGTAAAAGTGCTTCTAACTTTAGGATAACTTAGAGTAATGATGTATCATTTCTAAAATTTTAGGATGCCTTAGACCTTACTTAGGATAAATTCTGCCCCCAGCTTATGTTCGCCTCATGATTCGGAGTCTATCTTTGGTCTTGGAGGCTGATTAATTGACTCGGAGCATCTTTCAAGCGAAGTCACTTTGCTTAGTGCTATTCGGATGAATTCATTGGCGCAGAAGCGACATCAAGTAACGTTGATTAACGCTGTTGAAGTGAGATTAGTCACTAGAAAAGTGCGCTAAGCCCTGTAGATCCCTAAACATCCCTTGTTTTCGCGTGTTTGCCAGCGGAAAACTTGGCGAAGACCGGATGCTTTATCTGTAGGATTCGATTCGGAGGATAAGATGCGGACTTTGATAGGATAATAACCATTAGTTTCGCAATATGCGGACTTTGACTTGATGTGGTGCAATTGATCAGCATCTCAGGTGTTGGCAAGATATAAGACGGCTGAAGCGCCAGCTTAGACTTCATCATCACAATCACTTTCAATCTCACTGCTTATGCAATCACCATAATTAAACCTCAATTACCAAGCCCTCAAAATGTCAAAGACTCTCGCTGTCATCGGCGCCACTGGCAAGCAAGGCGGTGCTGTCATTAACTTCGTCCTCAATGATCCAGAGCTGTCAAAGCAATACAAGATCCGAGCCATCACCCGCGATGTCAACTCTGAGAACTCCAAAAAGCTCAAAGAGCGGGGTGTTGAAGTCGCACAGGGCGACTTAGCTGACTCTGGCTCTATTAAGGTTGCCCTGAAGGGAGCGAACACTCTCTTCTTCATGACAACTCCTGCTTGGACTGCTACCGATCTGAAGCCTGAGTTTGAAGTCATCAAGAAGACAGCTGATGCAGCTGTTGAAGCTGGTATTGAGTACATCATCTTCAGCAGTCTTCCCAGCACTACAGATGTCTCTGGCGGGAAGTACACTGCTAATCATCCCTTCGATGCTAAGGCTGAGGGCGAGAAGTACATTCGTACACTTCCAATCAAGAGCGCCTTTGTCCGTCTTGGATTCTTCCTCGAGAATATTATCCAAGTTCCTCTCTGGGCTCCCCAGAAGGATGAGAATGGCAAGTGGGTTGTCTCTCTCCCATTCACTCCCGAGGCTCGCATCCCATGGATCGACAACGGCAGTAACTGCGGCAGTTTCGTCGGTGCAATTCTAGCCGAGCCTGAAAAGTATGAAGGCGTAGGCTTTGACGCAGCTGCTGGTTTCTACAGCCTAGAGGAGCTTGTCGCTATTGAGAGCAAGGTTACCGGCAAGGAGATCACTTACAAGCAAATCTCCTCCGAGGAGTTTGCCGAGAAGCTACCCATCCTCAAGGATGTCTACGTGCAAGCCTTCAAAGCTGGCCAGGAGTTTGGATACTATGGTGCTGATGGAGAGAAGTCAGTTGCTTGGGCTGCTGAGAGGGCGAGAGGCAAACTTGTCACTCCTGAGGAGTTCTTCAAGGCGAACCCTCTCAAGTTGGAGTAATGACATATGTCAAGGATCTTTGTATTTGAACGTCATGATTGACAAAGAGTTTCGAAAGGACGAAGGATGTAATAACTGGGTTGAGATGTATCAGACCAACCTTTAAATGGACACTGGCTGTAAGAATCTTTAGCACTGTGTAACATCGCTGACTTTGTTCAGTCTGTTTCCACTATGGAGTCCTACTAAGTCCACTGTAAACATAGAGTCGAACGCCAAGCGCAAGATACTTAGGACAATCCCCCTAGACTAAGCCCTAGATAATACTAAGATGTCTTAGGATAGTTCATGATAGACTTAGTGTGCACCATGGAAAGTCTCAGCTCTTATGGCACCCGCAGGATGGCTTCCTTACCTGTAGTGAGCTTCCCTGACTTGTAGGGTAAACCAACTAGTTGAACAGAAGCTCAGAAAATTGCTTCTTTGCCTCAGTCTCATCCCAATAGACGATACGCCTTTCCTTACCCTCAGCCATCTTCCTCTGTACAAAGGGCTCCATGACAGCTCTCTCACAATCACTCAACAAGTCAATCCGTGTCTTACAGAGATCGCCTTTCACCATTCCAGGATCCCAATCACCAAAAAAACCTCTCATCTAGAAAGTTCCAGTATATAGAGTCAAATGCCCAGCTCTTACGAGCCGCATAGCTTAGAAAGACAGGCCCTGTTTGCCAACTTTCGCGCATATACGTAGATAAGGGCACTGGGAAAGTGTTATAGGCTGATGTGCCCATGCTGACTTCTGCGACTCCATAGCCAGAAAGCCAAATGCCCAAACGAGACTGGTAGGTTCGCGTCCAGTCCTCGAGATCTGGTGACCACATTTCTGCGGTCTCAAGTAGCAACAACCATGGCGGGTCAAGAACAAATTGCGCTGGCCCAGCATATATATACTCCTAGTCAATTAGAGCAACTATATGATTCGACTAATTGAACAGGATGTTACCTGCGCGAAAGTCATCGCCCAGTAGCCGGAAAGGGCCAGAGTTAGAAGGGCATGGCGATAGTGTTTCTGGCAAAATCCGAGATGACTGATGACCAAGTATCTTCAGAAAACACGAAGCTCGGCAACTTGCCATGTCTGGCCAGTCCGCGAAATATTTGAGGCGATACATATTTATTCCGGCAGTCGTCTTCAGAAGTCACGAGGTCGTGATGCTGAAATACGAGTTGTGCAACATGCATCTCCGCCAGGACAGTATACCACTCATCCGCAACTCTGTCTTTCTGGCTCTCTGGAGGCAAGATACTTCGTGGTATGTTTGCGAGTCGAACCATTTCGGTCATGTTGAGAGTGACTGGACGACCGGCTACTTCGTACTTATCTTTGCTAGTCTGAAGTAAAGATCCGATCCTCGGGAAAGTCAGCTAAGACAATTTCAGCAAGCAGTGGGCTACTTTTTTCAGATGCTCCCTAGAGTGTAGTTGGGTGTGTCTGGATCTAGGACGTGAGGCTGCCTCAGAATCTTCATCGCTCTTGGCCCACACAAGGTTGTCGTGCTCTTCTTGGTCTTCATATCTGTCTAGGTACGGTATCTTCTCAGCGAAGTGTTTATTTTATGGTGGGAGATAGTAAAGATAGGAACTGCTGCGGTAAAGGCTGTTGGGACATAGTTGGTGGACAACTGCCTACATACAATCCCAATAGGACCTGTGATAGGTCGTGGTACTGCAATTAAGCCATTCCAGGTTCTCATTGCATAATTGCAAATCTCTAGATACTGAAATATGCACAATATCACGGTTCACGATGTGAGCACTCATGTAAGGACTGATATAAAACGAGAAAACAACTTGATTATCCTAAAATAAGCTTCAAATTTAATCGCACCTCACATCTGTGAGTTGAATAGGCAGGACAACCAGTGGCCATCTCACTGAGCCGAGCCAACAACCTCAGCACCAGCCGTCCTTCCATACACAACACACTCCAACAGGGAAGATCCTCCCAGGCGATTATCTCCATGAATCCCTCCTGTAATCTCACCAGCAGCAAAAAGGCCAGGAATAGGTACAAGCTTGTCATCACTCTTCGTCAATACACGGGCCTTCTCATCAATGGCGACTCCTCCCATAGTGAAATGTGTGATGGGCGTTACTCGACCGATATAGATATCCTCATCGCGATTTTCCTCTCCAGCCTTGAGTGTCCAGCGTCCCCGCTGCTTACGGCCAAACTCATCATCTATGTCCTCAGCGACAGCCTTGGCATATTTATCCACAGCGGCTATCTGAGCGGGCTTGAGATCGCTCACCTTGACCTTCTTGAGAAGGCCCTTCCATTCATAGAAGCCAATATGGTTAGCCGATGCAGCAGAGGCACCGGGGTCAAGAAGAATAGTAATATCCCATTGCTTGATAACGCCATCGCCATCGGTGGCAGTTGGTAGCTTCATAATAGCGTTGCTGACATGCTCACGAGTATTCATCTCGTTAACGAAGCGAGAACCATCAGGCGAAAGGAGAATACCGCCTTCACCACGGAGCATCTCGGCCGCGAGAAACTTGAGCATGGAGTTGGGCGTCGCAGGATCAACGAAACCTGTTGGATGAATTTGCACACTGTCCATGTCTAATAGCTCAGCTCCAACAGCGGTGAGAATATCATGAGATCCCGGCCTCTCCTCGTTCGTTGAAGGTATGCCCTTGAGGTCAGGGCGATAACGTGCCAGAAGACCTGTAGCATCTCCAGCGAAACCACCACTGGCGAACAAGACTGATCCCTCAAGGTTATGCTTCTTCCCTTCAAATTCGTACTCGACACCCTTGACGGTGTTTCCCTCCTTAAGTAGTGCCTTGACTTCAGCAAGGTTGGTAATAGAGAACTTCCCATTCTCTTTGAGTTTGCTGAGTAAAGCGATAATGATGGCGGCTCCGGGCGGTGTCTTCCCAGCGCCGCGGTGAGTGCGAGCAACGCTGTGGCCTCCTAGGGGTGCCACGACGCTGAGATCTACACCCATCTCATCAACAAGCCAGTTGACTGCGGCTGCTGATTCGGTAGTGAGTTTTGTGATGAGTGCCTCACGATCTACAGGAGGTTGTGCAAGATGGAACCGTGACCCAGCCGATTTGACAGAGTCGCTGTAGAAAAGTGTATCGCTCTCCACGCCAGCAGCGCGTTGGTACTTGGTGCCCGCACCATTGATACCCGACGAAGCCTTGATGCTGTTACCGCCAGGCTTAGGGGCGCGATCAAGAAGATGAACCGATGGAGCCCCGCGCTGAAGAGCCTCATACGATGCTGATAAACCAGCGAGGCCGGAGCCGACGACGACGACGGGACGCGTGGACATGGTCTTTGAGAAAACAGAAGTTACAGTCGAAGGTTTAATGATGTTTCCGTAGAGCATAGCAGTAAGTGCGACTGCGAAGCCAATGCATGAAAGGAACAGGATCTGCGGCCTGCTCATGGTCCGGCGAAGGATGCGAGGCATTAGGTTATTATTGCAGGGGCGGCACTCATGGGCGGTATCGGCGATTTATACATACAGTACAATACAACAGAGTGAGTTGGTTGCAGCTGCAATGATGGTTTTGATTGCTCAGCGTGAGGTGTTGGATCATGGTGGACTGTTGTGGTCGTGGCTCACGGCCCATCAGGTGATTCTGTTGCATCGTATGATGCGTGAGAATGAAGCTTCTCCGGTCTAGAAGGGAAAAGGGGTTTGAAGATGTTACGACGCATGATGTGGTCGTAATATGCCGAAGATCTCGGCAGACGTGAATGGGTTTAGAGATTAGGAGATTCAAGATCGATAATTGATTGCTCTTGCTTTTTCCCGATTCTCGGTCGTGGTCCCGATCGGCCGGTCCCGGTTTTCCGGAGGAGGGCGGCCCCACCTTTCGGGATGACGGGATGATGAAATACCGATGCAGCGGGCAATAGACGATACTTTCCGTATCACGTTAAGGAGATCATTACAAAGAAAGCATATCGTTGGAGGATCTGTTCAATGAATGCGGTGCCCCGTTGTGCCTTGTGGCTGTCACCAGGTGGCGTGAGCTCGGCATTGGCGTCAACACCAGCATCGGCCTGCACGATGACCCTGCAGGAACCATGATCTAAATGACGATTGTGACTGTGACCGAGATTCTAGTGCGCCTCGGAAGGCATAGCCGGTCATCTAAAAGAAATGTTTAAAGAAGCCGGCGTTGGTGTTCATCCGCTCTGCTACCTGTATTGATCTCAGAATCGGCAAATCAATCACGGGTGTACTAATCAACTTCAGAACTTTGATCATGGGGTTCCCCATTTTTCCATATGTACAGTACCAAGCTTATTATATGTCATGCTAACCACCATCTAATGAGCCGCGATGCTTCAGCGGCGGTTGTAAATGCAAAAGCCAACGATCGCTGGCCGGTACAGCGAATGACCTTCTAAAACTCCTTCAATGCAGCGGTCTCAGACCACATGTTCGCCTGGATTGAGAACGTATACACCCTATTTTATAAGAATCCAAGTCGTAACGCGTAAAATGCAGAAAAACTTCATCGATGCACGTCTAAGCAAGGTTTTGCTCGGCCTTGTGGTGACGGTGTGCCCGACCCTCATCGGACCAGGGGAAGTGGATGACGGGAACCTGGAAGAAGGAGTTGCTGATGGATTGTTAGCGATGTATACTATTGTAGGGTGAGTTGGTGAAACATACCTGCTGTCTTGGAGACCTGCGAGGGCATTGTACCAGGCCATGAACGCAGCCAAGAATCCAAACAATCCAGCTGCCTTTTGAAGAGCAAGCTGAGCACTGTGGTTGCCCAAGTCGTGGGCATAGTTCTCGCATGCAAGCAAGAGGAAGCAGATGTCGAGGAAGAAGAAGAGAGAGAAGAAGGCGACGGTGGACTTGAGGGTGCAGATGAGGAGAAGTGTTGTGAAGATCCACCAGCCGGTAAGGAAGAAGCCCATGACCGAACCAGTATCACCCTCGTAAGGACCATCGGCGCCGAGGACGTTCCATGTTGGTGTCAAGAGAAGACCATAGGCGATCCAGAAGCCTCCATATGATGATAGGGCGGTAGCACCGAATGTGTTTCCAACAGCCATTTCCCTGGGTACATGTTAGATAAGGTGTATAAGTTGAGTGTAAAGTACAACATACCACATGCCAGCGCATAGCTGAACAAGACCACCATAGCCAAAGGCCACAGGAATAGCAATAGCAGGTGAAGATTCACCACGGACGTGCATGTTGATGCATGATAGGACAAAGGTTGTGAGAGCGAAAGCGCACAGTCCTAGAGGAGCCGGGTTGGCGAACTTGCGGTGCTCAACGGGCTTCCAGAGACCTGGTTGCAGGGCACCGCCGAAAGCGGGATGGATATTTGAGGGATGGGCATAGAGATGAGGATGAGCTTGTTGATGGGCAGCAGTTGTCTGACGCTCCAGAGTCTTGTCAGAGTCGTGAGGAGACTCGTTGGAAAATTGTTGTTGGTAATCGGGCATTGGTTGAGCCATTGTGGTGTTTGTTGATGTGGACTACTGAAATCCAAGTGATGATGTTCTATAAGTGATGTATCGACAAGAAATAGTATGACGGTCTACAAAGGACCAAGCATGAGATGAGATGGGATGAATAGCAAGAAAAACAACGAGATCGAAAGTGGCAACGGGAGACAAGACAGATTTATAAAGCAGGACAGACTAGACCAGGGCAAGAGACTCAACACGGGAATTGAAGAGAGAATGGATATCAAATTAGGTTCTGAAGACGGGGAGGCAGAGCAGAGAACGTGCTGTGGAGTGATATGGGTACGTAGGTGGAGTGACGGTGGAGTGCCCCGACGACGACGAGGGCGTGGGCGTGGAGAAAGAAAATGCTCTCTGACTCTCTGACCAGTGTCGGTTTTTTGGGGTCGAAAGGGTCTAGAATGGGGGTGCAAGATCAACAACAGCTGCAGATTTTGGGGGGGGCACATCAGGTGTATCAATTGGGCAAAAGATGACGAATATGTTTAGTTACTATCAAATAGATAGACAATGAATGTTTAATAAGAACACATTTATTATCGTGGTGGTGACTGCAAGTCCATGAGGGTGACATGGCAAGGCTCAACGGCCCGGATTGTCCACCTCATGACATCTTCCTCTCCTGACAACAAAATCATATCTTTCCAGTAAAGCCAAACGAAAACAACAAAGAAAGGAGAAACCACCCTTCGAAGGTTCTAATTGGCTGTCCATACAGACAAAGGACCCTCATCAACATCAAAAACACCCAAACGCAAACCCCAACAATCCGGAGAACATCACAACCCGCGGGGAACACAATCACATTGTGGGGAAGACATGAGGAGAAAACTGAATGATCTGCTCGCACGGCCAAAGAGTAATCGGGAAAAGATGCCGTCGGTCTTTGACTTCCAGACGTTTCAGCGTGTGAACAGACGCGTATTGCGGATTACATAGCATGATATGCAGCATGTTGGCCCTAGTACAAGGTACATACATCTAAGATCCGGTGATGCTGGGGTTATCCCTCGACTTTGCGGAGAAGATGACTTGTGAGAGAAATACGGAGTACGTTTGACTAAAGATTGCAGGCAACAAGAGAGACTCGGGAGTTGATGTCGGCAGAGGTTAAGGAAGATCGTGTGGATGAAGTCGAAGCTGAAGATCATCAGTCGATCAATCATCAAGATCGTGAACTCTGGCCTGAGCTATACACGACTGCAGGTCTACATATTTTCGTGACTACCATAAACCAAGACTTACTAGACTTCATTGTTGATATTTCATAGCCAAGTTTGTTACGAAAAAACATTGATTAGAGTCTTCACTGCAAACCGTCTGTTAGACGATTAACACACCAATCATTATAGCCGGAGACTCCCCTCCGCAACCCATACATCTCAAAACCCCAATCTCATTGAAACAACCTCAATATTAAAGTAAAAAACCCAAAGCTCATTACGCTCAAAAGTCAGGGCGATCAACCAAGTCGCCGCCTCGCGGTGAAAACGTGGAGAGCCACGCGCAAAGCCCACCTGGCGCCCACATAGCACTGGTGATCTGCCTTACAAACCAGCAAAGATCTCGCTACTAGGTCCATATTTTCCAAGAAATTAGTATTTCGAGGCACGTGGTGATTTTGCTAAAGAATTTAGTCGAGAGACCATGATGCAAAGTCTGGTTCAAGTGGGAGGGTCGGCAATGTTGGACGCTTAGTGGCAGGGGCACACACACTACAGTCGACACACACAGCTAAGGAGGCTGATGTATTTTTTCCTCCGACGGCTGCAGCCGAGATGCAACAGAGGAAAAAAGAGGCCAAGGCGTGGGATGTGAGGGGGTATGCTCATTAAGAATTGGAGAAATCTAGCAGGGGTGTGAGTTGATCAAGCTGGTGCACGCCCATGACAGCATCACCAACTTGGAGCCCAAAAGTCTTCAACCAGAAAACGACGGCGACAACAACACCACCACCACAGAAATCTGGAGATTTAAACTTGAATTAAACAATCTGGGGCAGACTCTGGGGTCCAAGATCCCGATTTATTTCCCCAGAATCTCGTCGAGATAAACAATGAGGAGAAGAACCTCTGGACGATGGCCGAAGGTGGGCCTGAGCAGCATCACTTTCGTCACTGATTTTGAGAAAGAGAGGCAAAAGACCCATTTTATCTGACGCCGACTTATCCGTGTATGTATTCAGAGCACGGTGCAGGCAGTCCTCGGTTGTATGCAGAGGGGCAGTGATCATTATGCAGTTGTGCAGCTGGAGAGGAAGCGTTGGCTCGAATGAACAAAGAGCCAAGAGTGAGAACTACGATCATGAAATCACCGTGACATAGAAAAGGATACAGCAGCGTTTCGTTATGACAACTGCCAAGTCTAAACTTGTTCTCCAAAAAAAAAAAAAAAAAAGGCCTGAGCGAGGAGGTGAGTGGTAGGGTTCTCCTCAGCGAAAGGAATTTGGAGAAGAGAGATGAGGCGGGAATAGCGAGTTAATGAGCCAAGACTCGATGCATCGTGAAAAGATGCACTCCCTCCTCTCGCCCTACTCCAACTCAATTCAACTGCTAGACCGGACCCCAACCACAAACTGTATCTGCATGGCTTGCACACAGCAGAATGCACCCCCAATCTTAACAAAGGGTTGCCCAGCCAAGCTAAATAACGTCGGCAGTCGTCTCCCAAGGGCTCATCCTCCGATGAAAGAACACAACATTTCCCAACAAGAACACGAGAGATGGCCAGGAAAAGGGCCGTTTACTCTACGAGTCTAATTCCTCAGAGTTCCCGGGAATGTCTGGTTAATGAGGAAATTTAGCTAGCACTTTATCCTCGGTTGTCAGTCGGCTACAAGACGGATACTGTTATCACATCGAATGATCGATGCGCCCAAATTAGAATCCATTGTTTTTTTGAGCCTCCTGTTTTTTGTTCAGGGGTACTGATAGCGCTTCCGCTTTGTTGCAGGGTTTGGCTGGGCGGCTCTTTTGGAGTAACCGAAGTGACGTTCGGTTACTGTACGACTGTGTGTGAGAGATGGACAGAGGGACAGAGAGATTGGTACTGATGATGAATGAGTATTATGAGTCGTGATATGCTGACATATTCCTTTTTTGAAGAATATATGACTCAGTTGACGTCCTTCTGCAGCAAAAGAGAGACCTCAGGCAGTTTTTTCCAGAAGCAATCAGGTGCAGGGATCTTCCTGGTGAGGTGGCGTCCTCGACTTCAGGGGATTGAGTGTGTTGCAGGAACTGAAAGCGATGACGCCACGGCTGCTGAACCTCCTCCAATTCCTCACAAAGTGTAGCAGTCTTCTCTTATCCCCGTATCATCGATACCTATTGATCATCAGCCTCTCCCTAAATATTCTCATTTTATGTAGACGATCACTCCAATCTCGCTTTGTCTTCACCGTAGAATCACCACTGATCAAGAATGGAGAAAAAACAAAGAGTCTCCAAAATTTGCCCCTCCCATCATCATAACCTGACGGGTTCCACTGTCATCCTTGATCGTATGAGTGAGGATCCGCTGTCTCCCACTGCCTCTGGCCCTGTCTCGCCACCTCCAAATTCCGCCTGCGGAAATATCATCTTTCGCGCTCTGTCCGAGACCCCGAAGCATCTTTATTACCCTGAAGTGTCACCATTGCTACCCTTTGTTAGACAAATACAGATTGCGGATCCGAAGTGTAAACCCAGAACGAAGGTTCTGCTGCAAAACAGGGCAAACACAATCAGTCACCTATTCCCGCCTCACCCTTCTCCAATACAAGTAAACCTGGCTCTGACACAAACACGCACAGGCCACATTTACGCCAGCCAAGACCTCAAGAGCCGCGAGAGGCCAAGCCAGCTAGACAAGGATCTGATCTGCTGCCGCACATCAAATGACAAAAGGGTCTTGAACGGCAACTACGGCCGCTCATGGTTTGTTACAGTCACTTGAGCGCACATCGGATTTCAACATCCGTGTCCAATCTGAGGGTCGCATGCGTCAATGCCCTCCTGAGCCAGAGGCTGAGTGTCGACTGTTGGTGATCATTGGTGCTAAATATCCCTCTGTGTTTCCACTGTAACTGCTACCCCTGAAGTTTGAACGCCAGGCAGATATTCAATGAATGGATACTTGTATAAACGATGTGTCGTATGTTAGTTATCCTCGGTTGTGTTGTACTCCACGATGGAGAATGACTCGAGATGAAAGAGTTTTCACTCCCTTTTGAGCAACTTCCCTTCCTCCGGATGGCGGTTGGTGATATTTGTTGAGAACCTTTACTCTCACGATGCAACGTAACTCGAGGATACCGAATAGCACATTCATCATCTGGTCGCCATAACCTCGGTTCTGCTTCCACTAAAGTCAACTCTCTGAAGTCGGTAAAAGATGCCTCTGTCAAAGCGATAGGAGGTTGTCCGGCAGGCTCGGGGGAGGCCAATCTCGCGAGCGCGAGGCACAAGCGAAGAGACCTCCTAGCCAACTCCTCGATGCTGTGGTATGAGTGCTGTTGTATGGGTGGTCTTACTGTCCTGAGTGAGGCCTCACAATAAAGAGCGTAAACCCCAGTCGATGTTCAACACAGAACAGATCACTCATGCATATTTGTGTGGTATGTTTACATTGTCACAAAGTTCTAGGAAAGGCAGTAAGATCCATTATCCTTCCAGTCGGGTAAATACTCCCCATAACAGCTTGATGAGTCTCTGTGTACCATAGCCCAGACTGTTTCTGGTGTTGGGGGTAAAGTGTCGCCACATGGGAATCTTTCGTCTGGTACAGACAGTCCTGAGGCGTATGGGTCATGGAGACCATCAATTGTCTGGAAATGCTTCGAAAAAGACGGTCTCTATAGTGCTATGATCAAGCCAGGATAATATGGCGACGCTGTATCTCTCGCAGGGGGTGAGTTTCTCACATCTTATGATAGACTCCAAAGACTCTATACACTTATTATTAAAAACGGCTTGTAGACCAAAGCATTACCCCTCCGAATTTGTGTA